GCAGGCCCGGGGCCGCCGCCGCGCGGGGCGCGGGCAGGGCCAGCGCAGGGCCCAGGCCCAGATTTTTTATCAACAATGACAAAAAGCCAGAAGAAAATTGAAGAAAAATCTTCAAAAATACTTAAAGGACTGGCTGTTGATTAAGCCAGCAGGAGCTCACATGGCTGACTTTGCAGTTCAAGTCCTGGACCTGGCAGCTTGAAAAACATGCTGGGTATAGACAGCAGATAGCATGGTGGTTAAGGTGCTGGACTCCCATATGGCTGACCATGGTTTAAGTACTGGACCTGGGAACTTGAAAATTATGCCAGGTATGTATGCATGTGTGCTCAAAATCCCAGGAGGAAAAAGAAGAAGAACAGATTGTGGCGTGGCCATCCCCATGGGGGATCATTTCTCACTTTCCCTCCACTGTCTCTCTGTCTCTCTCCAGCAAGCACACATGCCCTATGGCAAAAAGCTAAAGATAAAAACAAAAATATATATATCGAAGATGAAGCCCAGATGTGGTAATAACAGTGCTTCGCAAGGCTGGAGTCTATGTGGAAGATATAGGTTCTGTTTTTGGTCAGTGTATGTCAGACATGCACATATGTGTCCATGATGCTGCCTGACTGAGAGTGGAACATGGGGGCGGAGTTATAGCATAGGATGGTATTGGGGGTACTTTTTTAGCAAGGTGGTAGAATACAAGATTAACACACAAAAATCAATAGTACTTTTGTATACCAGCAATGAACAATAAAAAATTTAAAAGTTACTGTTCATAACATCATGAAAGTATGAAATACTGTGGGTCGGTTTGTTTTGATAAGATATATCTTAATGATGACATTTTTTTAAATTTATTCATTCATTTTATTTTACTTTATTTTATTTGACCAGAAAGACACACAGAGAGCGAGAGAGAGAGAGAGGGAAAGTGAAAAAGCAAGCCACCAGGTCCGAGACTCAAACCATGGTCGGCCATATGGAAATCCAGCACCCTTATCCACCACACCACTTGCCGGCTCCTTAATGATGACATTTGTGTAGTTGCCCATTATTGATAAATATCTGGCACACTTTGGCTCATAACAACTCATGAAAGCAAGCCTGTAG